AGTGCCACTCCCTTTGGGGGGGCCATTTTCTGACCAACCATCACAAAGCCTTGTTTAAGTTGCGTTTGTTAGGATACTCTGTCTCAGAAACAGGAAGGAAAATGTGGACACACAGCAAATACTTTGCCCATTAAGCCCTCTCTTCAGCCTCTCCAGTACATCTGGATCCATACGCACTATGGGATGGTCAAACCCAGCTAAGCGACATACCTCTTACTTCGCAGTCACCATTTTTGAGGTGGAAACATTTTCACGATTATATCATACTGCTAATTCTGTCACTAAGTTGTACAGTAAATCTCCCAGACTTACTCTTCTTTCCTCACTGAAGCCTGGTACATCCTTCAGCCAACCTCTCTGCACTCACCCCCAGCCACCCCAGCTCCCATTAACTATCCCCGGGTCTCTCCTTCTATGACAGACACTTTCCTGGATTCCGTAGGAATGAGATCATGAGGTTTTTGTCTTTCTGTGCTTGGCTTATTTTATTTAACATAGCATGTTCCAGGTTCACAAACACGGCTGCAAACGACAGGGGTCTGTGCCCTGTAAAGACAGAATAGCATTGCATTTGTGCATATACCATATGCACTATATAGACCATATACTTTACTCATCCACTAATAAGAAACTTGTTGATCATACCTTGGCTGTCAAAAACATCTCTCTGACATTGATTTCAAGTTCCTTTCAATATATTCCCAGTAGCATATTCTGATTATTGACACATGATTTGGCAATTCTATTTCTAAATTTTAAGGAAACTTTATACCTCTTTTCATAATTTACCTTTCTTAATCACAAAGGTCACAACCTAGATCCCCTAGCAATTTTCTTTTATACAGTTGGGTTTCCTTTACTTAAGTACACCTATTTAAAAGATATTTTGGTATCTTTATTTCAGCGAATCTCATTTGCCTCCGTAGAGGACAACCTTAAAAGGGAAACAATGTTTTCAGATTCTAGCTACAGACTAAGGCCTGCCAGAGGCTTCTGAAGGAAACCTGGTATCTCTCTCTCTCTCTCTCTCTCTCTCTCTCTCTCTTTCTCTCTCTGGCAGAATTTAGTAACTGTAAGAGGATTAGAGGCAGACTGGCAACTTGGATTTCTCCCTTCCAAGGACAGAAGGAGAAGAAACGCAAAGGGAATCATTTTCTCAGCATGTAATTTGCTGCTATCTGATGCACCATCTACCGCAGTCTTGATTCTCCTGGGCCGGCTTCCCATGCTAGGGAAGCCATTAGAAGACAGGGAAGGGGCGGCGCTCATCGGCTACATCCGGGCTGTTTTGAAAGGTGTGCCACTTTTGTGCATTCATTGTGACTCTTGGATGGTCTTCTGGATGTTGGTTTATCATTCTGAATTCCCCATCCAGAAACTCTTCCAAAATGATAATTTCTAAACCCAGAAGAGAAAATTTGGTTCTCTTTCCGGATAAATATTAGACTTGACTATATGCTATGACACACTTCACATCAGCTAAAATTAGCAGTCGAGGGGAGAAAAAGAAAGCTCCCGAATCCATCTTTATCAGGGATGGATAAAAGCTAAGATAATAGTCTAAAAAAAGAACTTTCAGATTTCATAGAAAAGTGTTTTCAAAACTTAGAACAATTTAGATTTGAGTCCTGGGAAGTAGCTCTGTCTATCCCTGCCTGCGCAGATAAGAGCTAACCCGGGGATATCTGCAGATGGTGTTGTGAGAATAAACACAACTTAAGGAAGGGTGAGGGGCAATGCTTCCTAGGCATCTTTCCAAACTGCTAAGGCTGAGCTCAGAACTTGGTGTATTTAACAACCTTGGCAATTTGTTTTTTTAAAAAAAATTATGCCTAGCCGGGCGATGGTGGCGCACGCCTTTAATCCCAGCGCTCGGGAGGCAGAGGCAGGCGGATCTCTGTGAGTTCGAGACCAGCCTGGTCTACAAGAGCTAGTTCTAGGACAGGCTCCAAAACCACAGAGAAACCCTGTCTCGAAAAAGCCAAAAAAAAAAAAAATTATGCCTGAAAACGTAATATAAATTATTCCAACAGTCAGGCATTATTTTGGAACTTATTATATTGCAATTTATTGTAAACATATTCTCAACCTCAATGTTTTATTGAATGAGTTACGCATTCACTCAGAAGTAGATAAGACACATCTTAGATTCTTCTACCAGGAAATGAAATTCATGCTAAGACCATCTACAAAGTACACAAGAAATCGTTTGCTAGTAAGTTGCTGTTTTCTATTTCATTCAGTTACTCAACAAATATTGATTGACTGGTATGAGTCGGCCATTGTTTAGTGAGCGCATGCGCACACCCCCCCCCAGCTATAAACAAAAGACCAAGAGACAGAAACATCTGCCGACTAGAGATGACATCCCATTAACCTTTAGGTTCTTTCTGGGATATGAGACAGGATTCCCCCATTTTAAAGACCTTTGGTTGTATCTCACTGTGGGTTGTATTTAAAGTTGTGCCCCCGAGGATGCTGTTATTGTTAGCGCCCGCATCTGTGAGGGTATATAGGAAATAAAAGGCTACAAAGAAACAGAGAGAGGTCCTCAGCTTGCTGGCTTTCCTTTGATCTCCTTATTTTTGCGGTTTTATAGAAAAGTCCTGGGAGTGGAACCGTGATTTAGACTGGTTATTCGCGTGCCAAGAACTCAGCCTTAAACTTGGTATTTAATTAGCACTTAACAAGATGTCCTGGAGAACATGAGTAACTTAAGCATACAGGTATTTATGGGAAAATCAAAACAGAAGCAACAAAGCCGCCACTGCAGGGACCATTTTTGAACAAAGATATCCAAATGGTCTCAAGAACCGTTTGTGTTGCCATGTTCTCTTAGAACTGCCTGGGACTGCCTCCAAGAAATTCTAAAACTGTCTAATGTCTCCCAGAGGACCTTCAGAGAACAACCCAGCTCCCTAATTGCTACCTCACAGAGTGGATTCCTTCTCCTACCATTAACCAACCACTAGAGCACCAGGGGGGTGGGGTTTAGGGATGGGAGGGCTGGCTCCTCCAGGTTGTCTCACATACAGGCGAATACCTCAGCTCTTTCCCAGAAGTCCTGTTGACGCCAGTGTCGTCATACCGAACCGGATGCCTAAAAGCTTCAGATTTTCTCTTTCATTTTCTTTCCTCCCACCACCTCGCCCAGCACCATAGGGCATTGAAGCGAAGCAAAGTGGGCCCAGAATGCCATTCGTAATGTGGGAAGAACACTATCTAATGTGCCCAGAAAACAAACAAGGAAGGACTTGAGTGTTTAGCTGGAGCAATAGCCTCGCTACCAGTCAGACTCTCCGGCCCCACGTCTTCATCAACATCACCTTCAGCACGACAGACACCCGCTCTGGGAGAGCCTCGCAAGTAGTTAGTTATTCCAGGGAAGGCCATGGTGGTGGTGGTGGTGGTGGTGGTGGTGGTGGGGGTGGAATCGGTCCATGACTCACTAACTACATCCTATTAAGCGCTCCCCTTACACCCTCCGCCCCCCCCCCCCCCCCCCCCCCCCCCCCCCGTCACCTCCACCCCAGTTTTTCAGAACCAACAATGTTTGCAAACCATCAGGGTTCCGGCGAAGAATCAGAAGAATTCTGTGGATTTCATTGCCCAACCGGTTATCCGTTAACCTCTACCTTTCCACGCCAGCCAAGAAACTGCCTCGGCAGCCTTGACTGTACTGCAACCACTCAAATTAGCTTTCTCATCGGAGAGCCGGGCCCCAGCTGCATAAACCCTGACATTTAGAGGGGTGGGGAGAAACTCGCAGCAGTGATTTCTTCTGAAGAATTTGAGGAACTAAGCATATTTATTTAAAATACCAATTATTCCACATAGAGCTAGTCACTAACAGAAAAGATATTTCAGTTTAAATATATATATATATATTTGTGCGTTTACCTATGTATTTATCTAAGTGCATATTTATTTCATTGACGTCACTCATTGGTAGATCATGTTTTTACAAAAGGAAAAAAAAAGATTTGTGTAATAAGGTCTTTTTCTTTCAATATTATCATCCCATCCATTGTTGCAACATAAAGATGTGGTTGAAGAATTTCTCTTCTCAAAGAATGCCTTGTATCCCCTTCAACCAAGTAGGCACACTCTGGGAGGCCAGCCAGGAAGTGGGAACAGCCTCCTATATAAAACTGGGGTTTTATGTGTATATTAAAACAGGATTCTACCTGTATTGCAGAAGGGCACACCATTAAAGCTTGGATACTTTTTTTTTTGCAAAAACAGATTATTTATTTTTTCTAATTTCTGGCAACGGTTTCAATTTTGAAGGTGCTTTAATGCTTTCTTTGGCTAGAAAAGTTTATGCAAACCAAGCTCAAAATTTCTACAGCGTGCCTCAAGAACTCTATTTTGACACACTCCAAGACAGTACCGGCGGTGTCATTTGCCTACAGGAAGCCAACAGAGACCAGCCACAGGGTTTTCAGATGGTGAAAAGGGCGGCATTCAGTTACCAGGCCAGAGGGTTCCCTTTCCTCCCTTCTCTACCCAGGCCTGGGCAAGGGTGGGGACAGGGTGGGGTGGGCGAGGCGGGAGTCCCGCCGCACCTGTGGGCGTGCTCGGTGCGCGGCCAGCTCGCCCAGCACGGGTGGGGCGGCCCGGGCGCTCGGTTCCCAGTCCGCCGCTGTCCCCCCCGGGCGCACACACACCCGGGCTGGCGGGGCGCGGGGCTCGGCCGGCCACGCTGTCTGCTCCACCACGGCCGCGGCATCCTCCCGGGCCCGCGTCCCCCCCGCGCGCTCCCAGCTGCCGTGGGAATGGGCCTCCCCCGGGACCGCGCCGAGCCCCAGCCCCTCCGGCCCCCACCCCCGCCCCGCGGCCGCCCACGCCGGGATCTGCGTCACTCGGCCGCGCGTGGGCGGGAGCCGGAGCGGCGAATGGAGCAAGAGCGGAATCTCCCGATGTGACAGCGCGCCGGGCGGGAGGGGGGGCGGGGGCGGGGGCGGCGGAGGTGGCGGGGGAGGGCGAGGCGGAGGGAGGGGCGGCGGGAGAGGCCGAGGGAGGGCGCCCGGGGCCGCCGCCGCCTCCCGCCTCCGCCTGAGCCTCCGCCCGCGCGAGCGCGCGCGCGCGCGGCCGACCGAGCGCCGTCGGGGCGGGCGGGGGACGGAGCGCGCGCCCACCGCGTCCCTGCCCCCCTCGATGGGCGCGGGGGCGTCCCGGCCGCTGCAGCCGCCGCAGGAGCCGGGCTGAGCCGTCGTCGCGGAGCGCGCCGCAGCCGCGGGCCGCGTAGGTACCGGGCGGGCCTGGGGCAGGAGCGGGGGGCGTGGGGCTCGGCGGGGCGGCCGCGGGCGGGGGGGTCGGTGTGGGGAGGGGCGCGGTGGCGGGGGGCGCGCGCCCGCCGCCCGCGTGGGGAGCCCGCGCCGCCGCGATCGGCGACTTCCTAAAAGTGCCGCTCCGTCTCCGTTTTCTTCCTGTTATCCGCCCCTTCCTACTGTAGTTCTGTTTTCAAAGCGGAAGGAGAGTTTTGCTTGGAAGTGGCTCGCAGAAACTTGGCACCCAGGTGCAGGGAAGCGAGAGTCGCCGAGCCTCTGAGGCTGAGTGGGGAGTGTGCAGACACGTGTAGGACATAGAAGCTTTGGATGCAGGTGTGTGGCCTTCTGGGGACAAACACCGAAGTCCGGTCCAACCGGAGATGTGCAAAGAGGCTCCCGGGGGTGTAGAGCTGGACCGTGCGTTCGTAGGTTGCGCAGACCAAGTTTTGCAGCGGGCGACCAGGAGGAACCATGCCCTGGCTCAGGGAGGCTTGGGAATTTTTGGCGTGTCTTGTTAATTTACAGTTTGATCCGAAAGAGCTGGTTTGGAGTAACTTGTCACTACTGATTGGTTTGCCAGTGACGTGCCTGCCAACTTCGCGGAGTGCAAAGATCAGAATCTCTGAGGGAGATTTCTGGGATCTCGTTTAAAAATATTTTGGCAGTTTTAATAGGTAATATTAGATTGCAGAGGAGCCGGATTTAAAATAGATTAGTCACATCCGAAATGCCTCGCTGTTTTGTACACGCAGCGAATTACCCTTTTAAAATATTCACTTTTTGAAATTTCTTCCTTTGTATAATATGTTATGATATTTATAGTTCATGTTCCGGTTTTAGGAACAGATATCGGAGAGAGGATGTATAGGATGTTTTGGGTGGAGGCTATCTTCCTGAGGGTGAAAGAGCTGCCTCATGCCCTGCCTGTGTGCCAGGACAAGTGACTTTGATTGACGGATTCTTCCTCTACCTTGCATCTTTTTGAGACTTTCAGTTCTGCCATAAAGATGCTGTTGAGCATTTGTAGATGGGCATCAGGGTCGGCTTTCTTCATCCCTGTTGTTTCCAGTTTCGATATTGGAACGTTACATCTTGAAAGAAAATAACCTCAAGGAACGTTAAGGAGATTTTTGGTTGTGTGCTTTTACATTTTTGACTTGAACGTTTTTTGCTTAACCTGCCAATTCCACTACTGAGCACACTTTTTTATCTCCTGCCGCTGAGCCTCCTGCTGTGTGGGACTGTACCAGTAACAACTGGAAAGAAAAACTCCCGGGCATTGGACCTTTTATTTCATTCTGTCCCTTGGATGTGACTGTATTTCAGATGGCAAATTCTTAAAGATATAGTCGATACAGGAAATTTTAGTGAGCTATTATGTCTAATAAATTACATCAAACAAGTAAACTAGTGTAATTGCATCATCTTAGCTAAACTACAAGTTTTCCCTTTGGGTTGCTGGTTCGTGGCAACCACTGCCCTATGGAAAGCCTAGCCTTGTTTCCTCTTTGTTATTTAGACCATCAGCTAAAGCACTTCATATTTTCTTTTATTTCAACTGAAGGACAAAACGATTTATTAAAATTTGCATTGTAGATGCTTTGAAAGAAGAAATTCTAAAGGGAGGCAGATAGTGTTTCATGAACAAATTTTAGAGTCCAGAATGGTTGGATGGAAACAAGTGTGTTAGAATTTTGTGTTTGGCGACTTAGAATCTGCCCTAGAGTTAGTCCTTAACTTTCATGGTAATAAACCTGGTTTTGCCCCCCCCCCCTTTTTTTGAAAAGCTCTGTATTTGACGTCATGTGAAGCTGTGTGCTGGATACCACAGGGCCACCATCTATTGGCTAAAGATTATGGTCATGTACAGCTCCTTTGTGTGTGCCTATTTCATTGTGGATTTTATCAACCATAGTACAGAATAAAAGACAGCCTCTTGAGTATAATGTAAGCTCACCGGCTGCTTTGCTTGGGTCTCTCCTGTTTCACGTGCTGCTTTTGATCCCTTGAGAGGTAGAAAGGAGTCTAGTGTGATTATTATAGTAAGTGCAAATTTCCTCTCTGGTCTGACATGTTCAATAACTCCTCCAGTGGTAGAATATACTCTCTCGTCTTGGTAATGGAACAAGAGGGAAATTTCAGAAGTTGATGCTGGGGGAAAAGCACTAATGTTCATCTTGAGAATTCTCACAGCTAAAACGTATCATTAAGCTTTCAAATAATATGTCATCTTTCAACGCACTGTATTTAGGGGCTGTGTATTAATTTACATGGTGCGTTAGTACTTCTCACAGAGGAACGTCGGAAGACCGTCGGGTTTCTATGTGTCTACGTTTTGCTTGCGGTCTGCCCAGCTTCTCTTAGTGGCTGTCGTGTGTCACCCCCATTGGCTGAAGAATTCTCAGCCATCATGTAAGATGTTAGCGTTTGTCTGTTGATATTAATGTGTAGTTGTTGAGTAACCAAGTGACTCTGATTTATCTTTTTCTAATTCTCATCCATGTGTTTTAACTCACCCTTCGATGGCTTGGGCTGAATTAAAAGGAATCTCTCGAAAACCTGCTCCCGGTTTTATTCAGATATGAGGGAAGAATCCATTGGGACAGACACTTTAATGTTCCCAAGTTAGCATAAATTCATAGCTACGTGAGCAATAAGACCTGAAATTGTCTTCAGAGCTACCACTGTGGGCCCGAGAGTGTAGCTCATGGTAGGAGCGTATGCATGGACGCTTCTGGCTGGCTGTCCAGCCTCCAGCATCAGCAAAGCCCAGACAAAGTGAACACCCATCACCCCATGCTTCCTGGGAAGCACACGGGGACTGATAGGTCTCCAGGAGAGCTCTGCAGCCTTAGCCCATGAAAGGCAAGGAAACCACAGCGAACCACAGACACATTCTGGAGTCCGGTACTGGAAATGAGAAAGTGCCGTCTCCTCCCGGCTTCTCCTTTCCCAGGCCGAACTTTGGAGTCTCATCGTTTGCTGTGGTTGCCGTTCCCTTCTCCCAGGCCTCTCTGCTTCCAAGCTACACTTTGAAACTCGCTGGGGCTTCAGAGGCTTTAAGGCCCTTGCGCCCTTCCTTTCTAAAATTTCACTTGTGAGGACAGCAGACCTCACTTAGGTGTTAAGAAATGAACAGTCTAATGGGGTTAGTTCTTCTCTCTCTGTCAGTGACGCATGAGGTCTTCGCTAAGGTGTTACTTGATGTTTCCCAAGAGGTGGTTATTAACTCTGAAACCTTGAAGTGAAAATTCACACTGTGTTGCGTAAATAAGTCAGGCCTTACCAAGGTTTTGCTCTTGTTCCCGAGTCTTCTGGACTGCCACAGACTTCCAGAGAGCATATCGAGTATATATTCACAGGTGCTGAATGTGTATGTGCCAATCATTCTTACAGCACTGAGGGAAAACGCTTAAGAAATAGACATAAATCTGTTAAAGGCTAGCGATGATTTATGAGGTGCTTGCTATTTATTTGAAACACACCGTTTTGGATTTTTAAGAACACAGGCAACATGACCCAGAATCTCTCATGATCAAACTAATTTTTTTAAAAAAAAATTAGATTTTTTTTTTAAAAAAATTCCAATCCAAATTCCTACTCCCTCCCCGCCTCCCATTCTCTTCATACCCTCCCACCCCACCCCCATCTAATTCTAAGAGAGAGTAAGGCACATTGCTTTGTGGAAGGTCCAAGGCCCTCCCTACTGTATCTAGGCTGAGCAAGGTATCCCTCCAAATAGAATAGGAGAATCCCAAAAAGCCAGTCCATGCAGTAGAGATAAATGCCAGTGCCTCTGCCAGTGTCCCCGCAGTCTGCCCCAGCCATGCAACTGTCAGTCACATTCAGAGGGACTAGTTTGGTCCTCTGCTTGTCGAACTAAATTCTTAGAAACCTCTGACTTGGGGGTGACGTCATACATGTCATCCGTTACAGTTCTGAGCATGTGCAGTTCCTCGGTGCCATTCATCCCTTAATCTCTTGGGTGAAGAGTTGGTCAGAGTCTGCAGCGTAGCCCCCTGTGAAAGCAGACTGTTGAGGATGAGTCAGTGAGGATGACGGAGCAGGATGTAGAAGAACATGCTGCTGCTGGATTGGTCGTTTCCTGGGGCAGACAGCAGTTGGCTGAGGATAGCCCTCGAAATACGAAAGGAGGCTGCTGAGCAGAGACGGGCTCAAACATTGGGCTTCACGCTATAGAAGTCTGGAAATAGTATTCCACATAGAATGCTTTGCTGAGAATAAAGGCAAAGATGAACAAAACCCAGTTCCTACCCTCAGGGCTCCAGTAACCAGGGTAGTACCTTGTTTACAGAGCACGTTGAGTCCTTTGTTCCCGGCTCCTTTTGTGTAGTACTTACGGTATGATACTTTGTATCGCATTGATTGCACTCAGACATGTGCTTCCGCTTAACTGGTCCTTCTTGAAGGAGTCATTCCTTGGTGTCCTGAGAACTGGCTCAGAGCGTCCATGTGGGAATAAGTAAAAAAATAAAAAAATAAATAACCAGGGAGGGTGTTGAAGAGAAAGGAAGGAAGACGTTACTGCGGGCATCCTGAAACTCCGGAGAAAGCTACAGCCAGGGTATGTGTGAAAAGTTTTCTGGGAAAGGATAAAGAAAATGGAGGGCTGCCCAGGACAGGGCCAAGGGAGACGGAAGGCAGGTTTAGGTGGGGTGCCCACAGGAGTAGTTTAGATTGCTTGTCTTAGGCAGTGGGGAAACTTGCAGAGAAGAAGGAAAACCTGGACTTGCAGTGAAGGGGCTGGGCAGCGGGCAAGAAGCAGTAAAAGCCAGGATTGGTGCTTGGGGAAAAGAAAGGCTGGGGCTGATGGAATGGTCTAAGGGCACGCAGATTCAAAAAGAGAAATGGAGAAGGCAAGGATGAAACATCTGTATTCATCTGAGAAACAGGGAAGTTAGTGCATTGACAAAGACTGACGGGGTTGCAAAGAACTCATCTGGGAATCCGGAAGGCTGGAAGAAGATGAGACCATAGCCCTGTTTGGGAGCACACCAGGCAAGGTTTGGCAGTCCTCGGGTTTGGCAGTCCTTGGGTGATGCCAAACTCCAGTCCATGGGCAACAATTCAGGTTCATCATCCTCAGATATTTCAGACATGAGAATCACTTTTGAATATAAAACCTGCACCCACTCAGGGTGACTTTTAGTATTGTTCATTGACACTGCGCTGAACGTTCTCAAAGTAAGACATTAAATCGGTCTGTATCTTATGAAATCAGAAAAGTAACGAAAAAGCTTCATTTTTACTTTGAGATCTCTTTGTAGGGACTCCATATTCTATTCATGAATTACCCTCACCAAGCCACGGGTTATGAAAGTATGGGTAATGACCCCGTGCAGGATCATGTACTTCAGTGCGTGGGGTGGTGAAGGTTTTGGCAGTAGAAAATGGTTTCTGAACTCAACAAGAATCCGATAAATAAATAAAAGATTTAGTATTCAAGGTGTTTCTGGCTGGACGGCCTGTATTGCCTCCTCCTTCTCTACGAAGGCCTTGGTTTCCGAACACGCAACACACACACACGTCACTCTGTCGAGCTTTCACTCCACGCACGGGGCACCCGCGAATGCGACCAGAAACCGCTTGACTCACACTCGAGACTATTATAGGTTATGAACTACATTGTTTTGACTGTACATAAAACGTTTTCTGCTTTTATGGAAACAGCTCGGTGGCAGAAAACAAAGACTCTATTTTTCTGCCGTCATTCCGTAGTGGGTTAGTATCTAATTAGAGCGTCTGTGGATTGATTATGTTAGGGTGCTTGGGTTTAGAAGTCACTGTTTTGAGTTGCTGACAAGTTTTACAAACACAAAACTTTATTAAATAAAATTTGGCTTCAGATTGGGGCGGGATTTCTCACAGTGTCCGAAGTGGCCCTGAACAGAATGCTGCCTTTTCGTTTTACATATTTACGCGAAAGCCTCATACGCAGCATGGACGGTTGTGAAATAAAAATATTGATCAGCTCAGGAAAATAGTGCAGATGCTGTGTGTCCTGCCACTTCGCACGCTCAGACAAAGCTTCACTCTTCACGTAAAGACAAGCACAGTCGCCTCCTTAGCTTTTCATCTTTAATAAATGTAAAATTGCACGCTTGCTAAGGAGCTGTTCAAAGGCTTCCTTATGATTTTATTATCAGAAAGTGCTCGGTTTGTATAGTCTTTTATATCCTACACTGGTGTCTCTTTCACTATTCCGCGGGAAGGCGTGGTAAGTAGAAGAGGTTCAAGAAATCCTGGTCAAGCCATGGGCACAGATTTGGTGACTGCCCGCCATAACAGTTGACCGTCTGGTGTAGGACAGATCATCAAGACACACCACGGCAGCCTGGAAAAGAGACGCAGTTCAGAGCTCTCAGAGACGGGTGTGGTGTCCCCCCACACCTGATGACATCTCAGCCTCAGGGAGGCTGAGGCAGGGGGACCACCTGAGACTAGTCTAGCCATCATAGTAAATTCCCTTCCGTGCCAACATCTTCAAAGAGCGTTTGAACTTAGGATGCAGTAAGAGAAGACGGGAGAGGAAATCCGCACGCCGTTACCAGAGTCAAATGAAAACATCTCGGGGCATGGCAAGCCACCGGGAGATTACGGGAAATCCCTGGTGAAAAGCCAGAAGTCCCCTGAGATTTTGGGGTAATCCAGTGGGTCCTGATGCTGTGGACTGGAAGCCCACGAAAGGCCCCCTCTCTGTCTTACCCTGAGTTGTCAGCCCCAGGCATGGAAGATCCTGTTCCCCTAGCAGACAGAGTAAGAGGTGATCTGTGACCAGACAGCTGCTCCTTTCTCTCAGCACAGCCTGGGCCAGGCAGGTGACCGATGCTACTCAGGGATGGGCCTCCGTGGGAAACATTGTGTGAGGTTACCGTTCAGTGAGCAGTAAGCGGTCTAGAGCTAATTCTGAATTACCTTTTCCTGCTTTGAAAATTCCTCTTTTCTGACGCTGTGTTCTTCTCGCTGACTGAGGCATAGGGATCGCATAGGCAGTAGGTTACCTTTGGGAAACAGCAGGAATGATGAGTCAATGCTTTCTTTAAGCCGCCGAGGCTCCATTGGTGCTCATGGTGCCAGGTAATGTGGCTTTTAGCTGAGTGGATATATTGTATCATCAACTGCCTGTCTGTATGGCTGTTAGGACCCTTGATACCCAGCTCAGAGAGACCCAGGCAAAGTTTACATTCAGCTAATTTGACCTTCATCGGATGGTTACCAATGTCGTGGAAGCAGAAAGTCTCATAGGAGTTTTAAATCGAATCAAGTAACTATGAAGTCGTGGGCTTTTAAATGATCGCAGCGGGCTTTGACGGAGACTGATGCAGCCTTCCTGCAGGAAAGCTCAGGGAGAAACCTCTTCTCCCCGCTGTGGGTGTGGGTCTCTGGAAAGCCTCCTGGGACTCTGAGCAGTATGTCGGTCTTTCATCTGTTGGTTTGGCTTTGGAAATGTACCCTTGTCCCCATCCTCCTTTCCATTGTGAGGTGCTTCCCCCAGTCCGCAAGGACTTTCTCTCAAGAGCCAGGAGGCTTGGTAAAGTACAGGAGAAAGGGTAAGACTTGAAAGCTGCTGGTTTGTAAAACCATTGCCTCAGAAGACTACAATCTAGGTTTCAAGTCTTTTGGGTCCCAAGATCCTTTTGTGTTTTTATATTTGTCTAACAAATACTCATTTTTCTCATTGCTATAAAAAGACTAAAATGTTCTGTTCACCTTATTGTTATTGTGAACTGTTTCCTCTATCCCATGATCTGGAGAAGAAAAATGGCGTGAGTTAGCATAGCACTCAGTAGACCTTGTGAAGCCACCATCCTCTTACGGAAAAGACTGCATATACATGCTTTTATGTGTGGACTTTTTTGTAAGAGGAGGGGGCTGCTTGTTCTTTCCGGCTAGCTTACACCAGAAATAACCACTCAGAAACTATATTAATTAAATCACTGCTTGGCCCATTAGCTCTAGCTTCTATTTGGCTAACGCTTATATTAATTTAACCCATTTCTATTAATTGGTATATCGCCACGTGGCAGTGGCTTACCAGCAAAGATTCTGCATGTCTGACTCTGACGGCTCCATGGCGTCTCTTTGACTCCACCCTTCTTTTGCCCAGCATGCAGTGCAGTCCTCTCAGCCTACACAAACTCTGCCCTATCAACAGGCAAGGCAGTTGTTTTATTCTTCTTCATCACCATGTCTACACGATGAAGGGAAGAAAACATAAAAGCTGAGAATGTAGGCTAAACCTGGCAAGCGTTGGTCTGAGTTCCCAGTCTGTGTTTTATCGCCATTTCCTTTGAGAGCATAGGGTCAGTTCAGCAACTGACTTTCTGAGCCGAGTGCACAGTTAGATAAAGTATGCATGTCGGGAGATAGCATCCATAACTATCAACCGCTTTGCAGATGGGTCGCGTCTTTTTCCACCTGTGTTGTCTATCTCTATCTCACAACGTCTCAGCCCGATGATGGAGCTCGAAGCAATTGTGCTGAGCCTTCTCCCCCTTCTTTTTGTAGGTTAAGCCCATCCACAGTGATGGCCACAGCCTTACCCAGGACCCTGGGGGAGCTGCAGCTGTACAGAATATTGCAGAAGGCCAACCTGCTTTCTTACTTCGATGCCTTCATCCAACAAGGTGGCGATGACGTCCAGCAACTTTGCGAAGCTGGAGAAGAGGAATTTTTGGAAATCATGGCGCTTGTGGGCATGGCAAGCAAGCCCCTTCACGTTAGAAGGCTGCAGAAGGCTTTGAGAGACTGGGTTACCAACCCTGGCCTTTTCAATCAGCCACTGACTTCCCTTCCGGTCAGTAGCATACCTATCTATAAATTACCAGAGGGGTCACCAACCTGGCTCGGCATATCCTGCAGTAGTTACGAAAGGAACAGCAGTGCGCGGGAACCCCATCTAAAGATCCCGAAGTGCGCCGCCACCACGTGTGTGCAGAGCTTGGGTCAGGGCAAGTCGGAGGTGGGAAGTTTGGCGCTGCAGGGCGTGGGCGAGTCCAGGCTCTGGCAAGGACACCATGCCAGTGAGAGCGAGCACAGTCTCTCCCCAGCCGACCTGGGCTCCCCGGCTTCCCCGAAGGAGAGCAGCGAGGCTCTGGATGCTGCCGCGGCGCTCTCTGTGGCCGAGTGTGTGGAGCGGATGGCTTCCACGCTGCCCAAAAGTGACTTGAACGAAGTGAAAGAGCTGCTCAAGAACAATAAGAAGTTGGCCAAAATGATTGGTCACATCTTCGAGATGAGCGATGATGACCCACACAAGGAAGAGGAGATTCGAAAGTACAGCGCCATCTATGGACGGTTCGACTCCAAGAGAAAGGATGGCAAACACCTCACATTGCATGAGGTAAGGAACGTTTTGGGTGGGTGTGGGTGAGCCTGTGAATGCCTGCGTGTGTGTGTGTGTGTGTGTGTGTGTGTGTGTGCGCGCGCGCGTGCGTGCGCGCGCATGCTGCTGTTTGCACGCTGCTGTTTCCTGCAAGGAGTTTGCTTATGGTTTTCAGGGGAGGAGCAGCCCTGAAAATACCAAAAGTGTGACATCTAGGGTTATATAGTGAGACCCAAATCAAGATAGATGAAAACTTCATATAGTTTATGGACATAAGCCTTTGTCTTATATAATGCTGTTTCTTTCCCATACGGCCATTCTTCCTTTGGCATTCGCTGTTTTACTTAGCTGTATCTGTTGATCTGGTCCTGTTTGGCCGAACTGAGTTTGGTGTCCCTCAATGACATGGACTGTATAAACTGGATAGCCCTACGATGCTGTCTGCCGCCCAGAAAAACAAGTACCTCTGTCCTCTTGTGTTACAGCTTTTCTGGGTTTGGTTCGGTTTTTAAGGTTTTGGTAATTTTACACGTTTCCTTCCAAACAAAATTCTAGATACATTTATCAAGTTTCTTTTTTTTAAAAAAAAATGCGTTATTTTGATTAGAACTGTTTTACTGTATAATAGACTTGATAATAGTTGGCATATTTATACTAATGGGACCTATGAGCGATACAGTATATGGTTTTCCCTATTTTATAATAGATCTTTTACATTCCTCAGTAAGAAATTTTGTGATTCTTTTATTCATGTGTATTTTCTTGTTTGGTCAGATTCTATATATGTTGAATGTCTTTATTGCATCGATTTAATTTTCTTCTCTGCTTTAATGGTATGAGTTGATGTAAAAGAGTATGAGAATTTTTTCCTCCTCACTACCCTTTTAATGGCTATCACTGGTTGATTTTTTTTTATGTTAATCTTGTTTTCAGCAGATTCACCCTCTGGTGAAGTTTATGACTGCAGAATTGGTTGGTGAGAATGGCTGATCTGCATGGTCTCTTTTGGAATTAGCATAAACAATTATCGGGTGTTACCTTGTCTCGTGGTTCACAGGCACCCTTGCGCCCGAGGGTTGGGGTGCTCTTCAGTGCCTTTTGAAATCACCTGTCAATGAATAAAGGTATCCAGCTAGAAAGCCGTAATTAGCAGGGAAAAGGTGAAACGTGCTGGGGATTTCAGCTTCGCACTTTAACCTAATCTTTTATATGATATTTAACGTTTTACGGATGAAGCACAAAGCTGAGTAAAAATCCCATACTTTCCTCAATGTCAAAGTAACTTTTACAAGATGACTTTAATAACCCTAACCAATTTCACGATGAAAACCACCCTTCCTTAAATTAAACAATTCGAGAGAATCATGTTTTTGCTAGGCCTTTGCTGCAAAGGCCTTTGTTTTTGCTTGCTCTTTGCTTCATAGGTGTAGATGGTGTGTAAGTCCTGAGGCCGTCATAAGCCGCAGATGAGCAGTGGGTGCTGGGAGATGAGGGCGGAGCTTTGGGAAAGTCAAGTGTTGTGTGATGGGAGAGGAGGGCAGAGCTTTGGGAAAGTCAAGTGCTGGGTACTGGGAGAGGAGGGCAGAGCTTTGGGAAAGTCAAGTGCTGGGTTCTGGGAGATGAGGGCGGAGCTTTGGGAAAGTCAAGTGCTGGATGATGGGAGAGGAGGGCGGAGCTTTGGGAAAGTCAAGTGCTGGATGATGGGAGATGAGGGCGGAGCTTTGGGAAAGTCAAGTGTTGTGTGATGGGAGATGAGGGCGGAGCTTTGGGAAAGTCAAGTGCTGGATGATGGGAGAGGAGGGCAGAGCTTTGGGAAAGTCCTCTGGCCTCAGAATTTCCCTTGGACAGCTCTTGTTACTTGGGGCTCAAGTGTGTGCATCTATCAGAACACTGTAGATGGGGGTAGAAGTTAACAAACCCAGCTTTCTCCAAGTCCCCGGCTCTCTCAGACCTTGGAGGGCACTGGAAGTCTGAAATTAATGAGAGACTAGAAGGTAGAAGTGCCGTTGTGGCCTTCCAGGCATTATGAAAATATTAGCTATATAAATCAGAGAAAGGCCTTTTAATATTTATAGATATCTAGGATAAAAGAATGCCACCCGTTTAGCTTCGGTTTCCACATCAGGAACTATGTGACATCCTTGGCTCTATCTGTCTGTTCTGAAAGCTTTCTTTGTAAAAAAAAAAAAAAAAAAACCAAACAACAACAACAACAAAAACCTTTTGATGCTTTTGTTTAAATTTTTAGTTAGTAGTGGTGAAAACTACCATCTCCGATGCCAGGGGGAAATGTCAACCCCAACAAGTCCGTAGAATTCTTTTTTTTTTTTTTTTTTTGGTAAACATGTTTGTATTTGTTCCCCCAAAGCACTGTGTCCTCTATGGTGAAGAATTATACAATAGAGCATTGTTCTGTAGCTTTAGGTGTGTGCATGTACCACGCGCGTGTGCGCACACACACACACGTGCACGCACACACACATGCACGCACACACACACGGTGCTGGGCAATGGCAACACAACCACTCACATTCTTGGTATAGGACAGGGACAGCCCAGGTATGGCGTTAGAGATTTCGGCCGGCGGAAGATCTCGTCTGTCCAGAGATATATAGTAGGGGACAGGAGGGGGTAAAGAAGGTGGGCAGTGTGCTTCAGATCTTGAGTCAAGGGATGATGAGAAATAACCTGGAAACTGGAAATGACAAGACAGGAGAGCATTCAGGACTTAGAGCGCCATGAGCTCATCCGAGGCTCCCCTGCCCTACGTTTGTCGCTGGTCCAGGAACTGAGAGCTGCCGGGTGGAGAAGCTCATAGATTACAGTTCTGTCAAAACTGTGGAGACCAGGCTGCTAAGAAGTCACCAAGATCAAGCCCCAGGCCTATAACAGTGAGGCCAGCTTCAGTCAGGTGCCAGCACAATATAAGAAGCCAGAGCGGAGAGGCTTCAGAATTCCAGCAGCCTCGGTTTGGAGCCAGAGCCCTCCCAGACAAGAGCGTGCTGTGCACAGAGATGCTTTTCCTCCATGCTTCCGCTCAGAGGACATGGTTTGCAGCACCTGACACTTGAAAAGAGGTGTTGGGTTTTCCTTGGATGGCTTTAAGAAGTTAGTTGTAGGACTATTAAGGTCGTCTATTTCGTCTTGAATCATTTGGTGAGTTTACTTTTTTCTAAACATGTCGATTCAGGTCATCTTCCAATACCGGCACGTAGGTAGTTGTAATTTTTACCTAAGCTAGTTTATACGGTCTCTCCCCCACCTACCACCCTTGCCCAGAAATTGGACAGTTTTTCTCTGAGAACTGCATGACAGGGTCAGTGGGCCAGGCCAGCCTGCCTCCTGTTTTTGTGAACAAACAAACTATTGCAACAGCCCATGCTTTTTTGTGCAACGTCAATGGTTGTCTTTAAGATACAATGACAGAGTTGAACAGCCGAACAGCGTCTGGCCTATGAACCCTAAAATGTCCCTCTGTGTTTTCCAGAAAGTGCTTATTGGATCTGAAGAAGAACTTGTTATCTTAGTGGAGGTTTGGGTTGGGTTGTGTCCGCAGTCTCCTCTAAATTAAACTGGGTTGGGGTCATTAGTGTTTGTTATTCTTATATTTCCGATGTAACCCGTGGTGACTCTGTGTTTTCACCGGGCATAGATTCATTAAGTTTTTGATATTTTTTTATTGTTTTCTTTTTAAGATTTGACTCACGAGTTATTTAGAATTTGCTGTGGTTTCTAAACATGAGTGAATCCCCACCACCACCACTGTCAATTTTTTTCTAAGGGTTCCTGTCTAAATTACATGGTGGTTGGTTCTCCCCACTGTGAAAATCCTGGAATTTGCACTGAGCCAAGAAGGCCTGGTGCAGCTCCTCACCCGCTGGATCATCTCACTGGCCCTGTTTGTGGTGTCTAATTCCTTTGACTAAACCCATATTCCTAAGACCTTTTAGAAGCCCCTGGAAGGAAGTAGCTCTCCAGAGCAGTTCTTTGGTTTTGCTTCTACGAGTTAACAGAAACCGGGGGATACGCTCTCAGCCCACGAGACCCATAGTGTGAGTGAATTATGGCTGGAGGCCTGCATGAGAGCCAAGAGACTTGCCTGCTGTCTTCCACATGGCTCTGAGGCTCAAGGCGGGCCATTTTCCATAAATGTCCCTGGGTAACAGCTGACTTGGAGCTTTACGGAAGAACACACCTTAGGACTCCTCACTCTGGGGAGCACCAAGCTTCACCCCTTGGTCCTTTCCTACACATTCCAGCCTTGTGAAGATGAAAACTTCTCATCCAGTCTGGACACTGCATCCTTAATTTACCTACTCTTTGAAGTACTGCTGTCTTCGGTTTGTGCTCATGTGCCTTGCTCTTTTTCTGGCCCACCGAGCATTTGAGCATTTCAGGTAATGTCCCTGCCGTCCTGCCTCCTCCCCTCTCTGCTTGCTTTACTCAGCAATTTTGTTTGTTTATTGGTTTGTTTTGGGTTTCCCTTGCATCTTATCCCGACAAAAGCAACTTCAGAAGAGTTTGATTTGGCTCGTGGTCCACGAGTGGGAGTCATGTTGGGGAATCAAGGCAGCAGGCACATATACAGCCGGTCATATTGCATTTACATCAGGAGATTGCCTTTACTGTACAGAGCAGTGTACAGTCTTGGGCACTGGTTCTCAACCTTCCGAATGCCACAACCCTTTAATACAGTTCTTTATGTTGTAGTGACCCCCAACTATAAAATTATTTCATTACTACTTCATAACTGTAATGTTGCTACTGTTATGAATTGTAGTGTTTGGCAGAGAGGTTGAGAACTGCTGATCTAGGATCTCAGCCCAGGGAATGGTGCCCCCCACAGTAAGCGTGCCTTCTAACTGTCGTAGGGGAAGACAGTCCCTTACAGACACACCCAGATTTTATAGACATTTCCCAGATCTCGTCACGCTGACAATTGAGATTAATCATCACAGTTTGTTTTGTTTGGGGGGAAGGGGCAGTCATGGCCTTTGTCCTCTTGAAAGTCAGAAGAC